CTTTGGTCCAGAGAGATTTTCTCTCAGATACCTTGTTGGGTATTTCTTTGACTGTTGATAAATTTCGTCCTCCTGGGTTGACTTCAGTTTTTCAATCTAAATGGACGTAGTTGAGTTAAACCTCCGCTTGAGCGCGCCCAAATACTGATTTCTATCGAATACGTAGTCTTTTTAACCAACAAACTAAAGTAAAAGGTTTTATTGTTGTAAACTGAATACTCTAGTCACATGAACTATCAGTGGCTTATTTAACTAAGTTCTACTGTAATAAAAAATTGGCTGCAGTGGGTCCACATAGATCCACACTAGTGTATACAAGTCAAAGGTATTATTCTGTTTTTAACACTGAACTGTGATACTTACGAACTTATTTTAGAAACAAATATCAAGTCAATGACAAAGCGATTTAGCTTTAAACTTAAAACACGACACAAAACTTTAACATTTAGTTCATGTATTTTATTTAAACCAGTTAGTTCAAATGGAACGTTTCTTGACATTCCGTCATTTGCCGCATAATAATTTCAATATTGGCCGGTCATACTTTGGCCAGTGCCTAGAGTGTATATCTGGCAAAGCTGTGATATCGAGTGTTGAGGGATTAAGTGGAGTGCTGATAATAATAATCGACGCAGCTGAAATACATAACCGAGATAATATTAATTACTTAATAATTGTACATCTTACGTGTAACGGTATACTTCCCAACAATCGTATTTTATATTCACATTTTTAGTGCATTCAATTTTTAACGTTTAATAAAGTATGTTTCAGAAAACACTTTACATATGATGAACCTTTTTTGATTAAATTCCAACTACTGTTTAGCTGATTTTGGATTCTTTGGTAACATAAAAATAGCACAATACTATTTGAGGGGTTTTAAATTTAAATTTTTATGTATATTTGGTAAAAAGATTCACCGTATTAGTGGTCGTATGTAGGTAAGTTCCCAGTAACGAACTATATATTTTATACTTTCCCTTAAGATTAGCTATTAATAATTCATTTCGCAAAGTAAAACAATCCATCAAGACGATTACTGCGCTTACGAAGAACCACGAGACGACGATACTACCATATTATGTAGGACTTTACTCGATTTCGAGCAGCAAGTACAGTAGAGATGACCCTCAAAGTTCATCGTAGGTTCATGTAGAGGTTCAGGGACGCTCTAGTAGACAGAGAGAGACAGAGAAGGCAACAAAGCTCGCTCTGCTCCACCTGTCTGCCTCCAACCTCCAACATGGCTGCCAGGGCGGCGACCTTGCTGACCGGGCGTCACCCCATGGTCCAGAGAGACTAGGGAGATGACACAGACACTCGGTGAAGCCTGCCAAAGAATGAAAAAACTAAAATTAAACAATAGGCTGGGTGGTGGACTTTATAGCATTATTACGTTCATCTTGCAAAAAATTGGAATTAAATTATCAAAGTTTCATTAATATTGGTCATCTCTGTAAAAATTACGGAGAGGAAATATAATGAAACTTTCTGTTTACATGTTATGGCAATAAATCCACCATTGAACAGAGTATTATATCGAAATTCAATGGTTCATAACGTTTGTAATAATCTTCGTGATATTAATTACAACATGTTTAAGAAATAACAAGTAAATTAACGTTACGAATATTCTTCATATCCAACCTTCAAAATGCAATCATGACGAACTAGAGTAACGTTCTCATCCGCTCCGTGGCAGCCCCTAAATATAATACAAGAAATAAAATATCAAACGTTCCACACAATCTTCGTGGTATCGGTGGGGCACAGCCTGTAAAGAAAAATCCGAGAAAATGGTAAAAAGTACTTCAAGGTTTTGTGGTATTTGGTCCTCTCTGCTAAACAAAATAACAGCCTTCTGATTAGCTATACGATCTAAATTATCTTAATGGTGATATTAGACCAGACTGCAAAAGACACTCAGAATCAATGATAAAATAAAACTTTCCATACAGGTTTCATCACATTTCGTCAACTGTATTATGGTGCAAAATTCCTCATTTTTCAGTTTTGTTACCTAGTAGTTCCTAACTCAAAGTTCAGTGCTAGCTGATTTCCATCAAGGAAACAGCTGATTTTAAACTTTGTGAGTGGGGAACCACATTTAACCGTCTTGTCCTCCCACTTCTTATCACCCTTATCACTCTTATCTTTCACCCCTGACACTTCAGGGGTCGCCCGTCTATGATAGCATGTTACAGCTGGTTTTGAACCTTTTTATCACATCGTTTCCTCTGGCTGTGTTCGCACTGTTAAGGCGTGTTCATTGTACTAATTTATGTCACTTCCCAGTCTAGGTTATAGGTCACCTAGTGTAAACAACAGGTTTTTATGACCTTCGATTAAACGTTGTTTAACAAAACCGTGTCGATCGCTACAGTATGGGTACTTTATTTTGAATAAGAATTTTATAGTAAATATTTCGGTTATAAAACTGTAGGGGAAAAGATATAATTTTGTTCAATCAAGTACAATTGTTTTAATTAATCACCAGTTGCAACATTTTTGTAGTATTTTTATATATTAATATTTTACTTTTTATTTTGTCGATAACGAAGAAAAGGATTAATTTTTTATTCAAAAAACTTCCCTTGAAAATGTAAATCAAAAGATTTAAAGTTATATTTGAGAAATGACAAAGCTTTTCAACTGGTAAATATCAGTAATAAGTTCTTATATTATGTTGAGATAGGTGTTCAATATCACTTACCAATTTTAACCGAGCTCTAGTCTAGTTACTATGAAACTTCGACTGTTTTAATTTGTATACTGTAGAGTGTATGCCCACTGCCACTCCCAAAGCTCCCGTGTCAATTTATTTTAGATTTTTCTCAATCACGTTTATAATTGCCGTATGGTTCTATTCAAACATATTTTCGCTCAATCAATTAATTGATAACTAACTGTCTAATCTCGTTGTGTAAGCCTATAACCATTGAATTATGGATACTATAACAAAAACTAATAATATTAATATTATAGCCCAACCTATTATCCGAAAAAAAAAAAAACTAAATTGCTAATCCCTGTAAAAAAGTCAAAATTATTTTTTCAGCAACGTAAAGTACGGTCGGTGATCCTTTATTGGAGAAAATAAAAATATATATGCCTTACTAGGCTCATTAAGACCCTTTTTAATTAAATGGTTTCAACTCTCCCAATATTATCATAATTTGCCACTTGTGATCTTTATAAATAACAATGACTGTCAAAAATATGAATAAGTCATATTTTTTCCGTCGAAGTTTTAAAATTCCATTGAAATGCTCCGTATTCGATATCGTAAATATAGGTTACTGTGTTTGATTTATTTTAGTTTGTTGGTTAATTGTTTTTTAAACATTTTGTATAGATTGTTTTCTATTTGACATCAATATTACCCTATACCAACGTCGATCAAAAGTACAAACTCTAGCCACTTTTATTGTATAAAACAGTGACCCTTTGACCCTTCAATAGAAAAAATCTAATCTGATAAATAAACAAACAACTAAGCTCTTGCAAGGAGCATGGAATGAGTACGTGTTAGAAATTAGTTTTGATAAAGTTACATGTATCAATGAACTTGAGTCGTAGCTGTAGCGCGTGGTAACCGCTGAACACTGAATGCTGATCGCTGATTGGTTGCATGCTGAGTCAGTCAGCTGACCGGCGCATCAGCGCATCAGCTGATTAGAGGTCACTGTTCGAAGTTCGAACTTTGCAATCACAATTATTGGGCCAAGAACAAACATTGCTAACGGAACAATGGTGATTTGCCTGGTTTGTGTATTTTATCTGCAATGTTCCAAATATCAACCATACCAGAAACTGGGTTGTAGTGAAGGTCAATTTGTTTATAGGGGAAATTTTAGAATTTTTTAGAACCATCCACGGCCAGTACTGGTTCGGATTGGATCTTATGTTTTTTCTTCGTTCATCAGTTGGCGATACAAATAGTACGGATTATTTTCTCCGCTGAACATCCATAGCTGGAACTTATTCTTGATTCGTTGTGTAGTCAATTATGAATACTGAACATGTGAGTTTTTATTAAGGTATTAGATGGGCAAAGGATAATCCTGAACATGTAAACATACTCCGTTTTATTATTGGAACAGTGGAAACTAATTTTATTGTTAACTCTGTCCGGTGTACTGTAGATGTTATGTTTTTTACAACTTGTTTCTTGTTATTTCAGTCATTTAAAACCTCGTTTAGCCAAATAAAACGATCTCATCAATAATCATTAACAATAACTCGTCCCATAGTTGTATAACCAAACAGTAAAGCACAAATCATGATAATAACCCTAAAATAATAGAAACAAAATTTCGTCGTAACGAGCGATCAGTGTCATCAACATGAACTAGACACGAAAAACGAGCTTCAATAATGTATTTACAATGGGATGGGAAGTCTAATTGTGTTGGTTATCTATGTCCTAAATGAATTGGTTGACATCTTTTTTTACTGACTTCCATGTTCTTGTCGTCTGTGCTGTAGTAATAATAACTAAAACAGAAGGTATTATATTAAAACTATCTACAACTGTATAAGAGAATATAATTGAATGAGCCCTGATAAAGAATGCTGCAATTTAAACTGTACTATTTTTTAAATACTGTGATGGTTATAAAACTCTATAGCTTCAAAAAAAAGCATTCCTAGTCTTAAGCATGATTATGATCGCAGGAAAAATATTATACAGCAGGACACTGTTCGTGACTTAATTGAGCTGCATTAACCCATTAGTGCATAAAGTTTCAACTTTTGAAATACAACTTTTATTTTCATGAATGTTGTTTATTAGATGCTAAATAACATGTAAAAAATATTCAAAAAAATATCCCATGTAAAATTTGCAAAATAAAGGCCGTCCCATATATGGGACGCTATGCCCAGAGGCTATCCTGATGTCTCTTTGCATTTTGTATCTCTACAGTGCTGTTTACATCTTTATGACAGTTAAGGTAAAAAGAAACATGTAGTAAATTTTTTATCAATATGTTTTGTTTATTTTGTGTTATAAAAATACAAAAACTATTTTACAAAGTAGTTATTTGCCTTTGAAAGCAGCATAAAATGTCTTTATAACATTTAATTTATTTCAAATTTTTGAAAATAGTGAAGTCTATATAGTTAACCAAAAAGTCCTTTATTGTTGAAACCTGAGTTCTTCTGGCTTATGTTTATCCCTGATTGTTTGAGTGGTACTCCATGAAACACTTCGGGTGAAGCCCCACGTTGCACTTTGAACAGACACATTTTGCCTTCTTTTTACAGTTAGCACATCTTCTTTGGGTGGCAATCTCAACAGGCCAGTGGTTCAGGTTATCTCTACGCACATCTTGAAGTGGCTTTGGGTATGATCTTCCCTGGCTTGATGGTGTTCCATACTTCCTTAGAAGCGTCAAAGCCAAATTTCTCCTGAACCTTAAAAGTTGGCCAATAGCAGTGTCAGGGGGAAGAAGTTTTTTATTCAAAATCCAAGCGTTTGACACACTTACGTCAAAAAGGTAGACAAAGATTGGCCACCACCATTTTCTTTGGCGCATTCTAGTTCTGTACGCTGCTACATTTTGATCCATAATGTCAACTCCTCCCATCCCTTTGTTGTACGATGCGAACAAAGTGGGTTGGGGTACTTGGACTCTAGCTTTTTTTTCCCTCGACCATCTTTTAACTGTTCCAACAGACATGTTTTCAAAATTTGTAGCAGCTGTTACTACACTGTTGTCAGCCCACCTAACTAACATGACATTTTCAGCCGTACGAAAATCAAATGATCCTCTACCTTCTTCCTGCAATTCCTTTTGGTTTTTTAAGGGGCAATACTGCACCCGGTCTGATCTCAATGTTCCCGTGGCACAATAACCTTGTTCAGCCAGGTGTCTTATTAGAGGTACCGAAGTGAAAAAGTTGTCAATGAAAATTTTGTAACCATTGTTACTCGGGATTTCAGCCTGTTTGAGTAGCTGTACAACAACATCACCTCCAAGCCCAAACAAATTTTCACGGTCAGGGTTCTTTCCACAGTATATGTCGAAAGAGATGAGGTAACCACTCGAAGAGCATATTGCCCAGTTTTTAAACCCAAAGCGTATTGGTTTGCCCCTAATAAACTGTTTGGCATAGTGTTTCCCATAGTATGGGATCATACTTTCATCGACAGATAGCTTCTCATCTAATCCTCCGTGATTCGCAAAGGATGTGTTTAGTGCATCAATTATGGGCCTCAACTTATAAAGCTTATCATCTGGATTCAAAGTGGTATTGTCATTTAAGTGAATAAAGCGGAGTATTTGTTCAAATCTGTTACAGCGCATGCTCTCAGACAGTAGTTTTGGAACATCATCTTCTCTTGACCAAAACATCCTTTTGTTAGGATATTTTGCATATCCTGACATAAGCATTCCACCAAAAACTACTAATAGTTCCTCTTTTGTTAGATTTAGGTTAACATTTTTTTGTGATGCATACAAGTTGCTTTGCTCACATATAAATTCAATCACTTCATCAGAAAAAAACAACGAAAAAAATTCCAAAGGACTTTCGCATTCCATTGCCTCATCTGAGCATGGCAGTGGTTCACATGTTATGTTTTGCATAAAAGCAGGCTCATCTATTTTCCATTGGTTTACACGAGCCTGCTTTAGTTCTTCAGCCAATTGTTTCTTTGTCTTTTTTTTACCATTCTGTTGGTTTTCATTATTTTTGATCGTGTTGGTGGTTGATGCAGGGACCTTTTTATTTTTTTTTTTTTGGAGGGCGGTTCAGGGACATAATCAGTATCACTTAGGCCTACCTTTTTATTTTTATTTTTGGGGGGCGGTGCAGGGACATAATCAGTATCACTTAGGCCTACCTTTTTATTTTTATTTTTGGGGGGCGGTGCAGGGTCATCAGGGTCATCATCTGTGTCACTAAACACAATAGGGGGGGTTTTCCTATTGACTTTCCTTCGAAGAGGTCTCAGTGAGATTTTATTGTCTGAACTAGTAATTAAAGTAGACGTACTTGGTTGTGGTTCCTCGGCTTCATCCAAACCTACGACATTACTATCCGTAGGGACAGTCTGAACTTCGTATTGTGGTCCTTTCGCATCCTGCAAACCTGTATCGTTGTCATCTTTAATGGCAGTCTGTACCTCGCAAACACTGTTCAACAGGTTTCGCCCAAGATGGTTAAGGTTTCCTTCGTGTTCATCATCGGACTTGTCACTATCAGCGTCGGTGTCGGCCCCATCATTTGGTGGAACGACGTAGATGAGACGCTGCAAACCATCATTGTAAGCCTCCAACTCTTCTAAGATTTCGTTGACTGAGTACCTGTAAACAAAGTTTTGCTGTAGTAAGGGTATAAAATAAATGGTACCAACATATGGCACAAACTTTCTCCCATGATATTCTTAGTAAAAAAATAAGTTTTTTGATTATAACTCACGAACGGATTAAGTGTTGGGGATGTAACCTAACCCAAACTAACCAAACCTACCCTACCCTACCCTAACATACCCTACCCTAACCTATCTGTCAAAGATCAGACACGTACCTGATGTAGGCCGCATACCATACTGTAGCCGAAATTCTAACGGATAGATTACGTTAGGTTAGGTATTATTAAGTATTTTTAAACACAATCCATTTCCACTCTAGGCCGCATACTATACTGTCCCCCGGAAAGGCATTTATTTGTTTGTTTTTTCGTAAGAAATAAACTTAAAAACTAAGGTCTATTAGCAACACATTGTTGTCTAGGCGCATAGCGTCCCAAATATGGGACGCTTAAGAAAACATGACTATAGAAACTGTTGAAGTTGCTGAAACTACTAAACCAAAGTACAAAAGTAATCAACAACTTGTTTAGAATGTAAAAGCATAGTTTATAACTATTTTATTACCGCACATAAAACACAATAAAATGTACTTACCCCTCATGCGTAACACGAAAATTAGAGCTTGACATTTTCACATGTGCAGAAGTGAGGTTATGTTAGCAGTGAAGAACAATGTGCTGTCTCCCACCACTAGCACCTACAGGAACAAGTGATGCCAACGTATACCACACCAAACATAAAATATCCCTCCTAGACTTTTTTTTTTCAGCGTCCTTTTTATGGGACGTTATGCACTAATGGGTTAACATGGAAATGAAATGTCTACTACACGATAATATATCAGCTATATCAATGATTTTGTTGGCTACAGTTCACTTCATATAACCTCATACTCCAGAGTCAAAAGAACTGTTCATTTCTTACAATGAACTCTGTTGTAACGTTGCCTCGTGCCGCCCCACGTCTGTTAACTCTAGTTTGGGGAATGAGTTTCTCTAATTAATCTGTCAAAGTGAGAGCTGCCCCTCATCCCACGCCCTTCTTTAGCTCTACTCGAGATCAAGTGATGCGATCGTCGTTCAAAATCAGGGTTTGGACCGTTACCTCACAAAAAAATGTAAGGAAGCGTCAATATAAACTCATAAAAAGTATAATGATTACTCTGTTTCATATACTTACTGTCAATCACGTGGACGACAAATTTCTTTCACAGATTTGTTATCTATACCGATCAGCTGAACTCAGCTTCACATGTTTCTTGTTTTAATTTTTTACTGTAAAACATAATAATATTTCGTTTTTGCCCCAGGTATTATCACCAAGATAATTCTAATGTTGTAAAATTTTCCATAAAAAGAACGAACGCATTTAGTTAACATCAGCGCACGTAAACACGAAACGCTCATCAAAACAAATGATTAGAAATCTACTTATATTTTCAAAGTTAATGATGATTGTTAAACAATACATTGTGGGTAGCTGCCGACACGTGGACTTAATTGGAACAGCTGATTCTATTGTTGCATTTTTGTAATCGTGTAAAACTATTGTATTGGTGTGACTAAATTGCTATCGAGATATTTTAAAATTAATCCAAGACTCGTTAATAAGCAGTCTAGGAGAAGTTCTGTAAAATTTTTTGCCAAAGAGTTTTGACCTTTTTTTTGAAACAATATTTTTACTATCAGCTATCAATGACCCGGTACCCAGATAGCAGATTGGTAATAGACAATGCATGTTAACCAACGTGATAAATTTATTCTTTCTGAATACAATTGTTGTTAAAATATTCGAAAATTAATTGTAGTTAAAATTTATTTTTTAAAAGAATTTTATTGAAAGAAAACTACATAATGGGTTTTGTAACCTAAAGACATTTTCCCGAATTTGTGTCTTTCGTTCCGATTTGTGGATATGAACAGAGTTAGAAATTATTGAACCAAAGAAACTATTTTCACGAAGTTTATCCTTAACAGGAGGAACAGTTACCATGGACTAGGGAATAATTATTTACAACTGTTAGATTGCTCATGAATTTATATCGTAATTCTTTCATTAATTTCAATAGATTATTTTTATAGGGTTGAGAAAATGATTACCAATTATTATTATCACAAATCAAGATGGGATTGTATCTCGGTGTGTTTTAAGCCAAATTTGAGGAAAGATTGTTAAAGTTTAGTGGAGGATGCCTTGTTAGCGTTGACGAACTAGCTGTTTCCTCAGGATCATTATTACTAATCCAATTATGAAGGACAGCTGGATCCAATTTCAAACCAGCTACTAGAGCTACTAAATTTTATTATGATCAAAACTGCGAGGAAAACCCAACTTTTTGGAGAGGACAGCTTAATATTAATAAACAGGAAATTAATCAACGGTATCAGCAATCTGACACATACTTTTTCCCATAAGCTTGTCAACAACCTTTATCATGGGTGCGGTGGGAGTAACTATGATATTTTATATGAAAAATCGCAAAAGTTGCAATAACTTTTGAACCGTTATTGTTACAGCAATGGGGGTTGCACTATTTTTTTTTAAATTATAAGGACCATAACACATTAATTTTAATCAAAACCAGGTTTTTTCCTAAAATCCTATTTTGTTGTTTTTTTATGAGATTTTTATGGGAAAATAACATAAATTACAATAACTTTTGCACAGTATTTTTTTACGGAAATGGGGTTTGTACCATTTTGTTCAACATTTCAAGGGCATAACATACTAATTTTGATGGAACCCGGCTTTAAAAAAAGAAACAGATTTTCGTTCCATAATTTACGTTTAATCTACGTGCTCAATCAAAGGTCCGCCTAAGGTTATAGGTTAAGAGAAAGATATGTGACATTATCAGTTACCGTTTATACAACAATCTGCCATTGCAGACAACATACAACAGACAGTATACAGAGGTGTATTGTGTGTTGTGTGTTGTAGTGTTATGTTCAAGGGCAAGGGCGGGGCGCAACAGTTCCGTGTCGCCCAACATCAAGGCCCCAGACTACCAAAGAGCACTTGTGTGGTAATACATGTGGTTTTCATTTTAAAATTTAAATTCCTACGTTTTTTATTGTGGGGTTTTCAGATTAATTTCATATTCGGATTTTCGCAGAGTGTTTGTTACCATGATTGGAGAAGCGATGAAGGGTTTGTGTTACTTTTGTCATAAAATAGCCGGTTCGATTCTGAATAAGCCGGCTTTTTAATGGTTTGGAAGTGGACCGGCTATCCTTAAGACGGTTCCACCCACCGGATATTTACCACGTAAACATGGTCATACAAAAAATAACATCCTGGCATTATTTAAGTGTTTATCGAGTTAAAATAAACTGTAAAATATTTAAAAAGATCCAAACTAAGTACTGGCTGAACTGAAACTTCATAACTGTTTCATAATAAGTATTTACAAAACGGATTAGACGGATTTGAAAATCCGTAAATTAGTCTTTTCCACATGCAGTTTTAACATAAAAATTATTTTTGCTCCACCCACTGCAAGCTCTGATATGTTAAGAACACAACAAGCATACAATAATTGAAAACAAATTAGTTTTAGAATGTTGAGAGCTTGTATCGTAGAGGCATGTTCAGGAACATTACCATGTTTAGCCGCCATCTTGAATTGAACGGATAGAAGGCCCTCTTAAATTATCCTGAAAAGCAACAGCTGCAAAGGCAACAGCTTTAAACGGTATCAAAGCTACGCAAGGCATCTACTTTAAAATAGAAAAAAATAGTTTGTATTGTAAATAAGATGTGTGGCAACTAACTTCATTTGGTGTTTCTTCTTATTTATAATGAGAGCACCCTTAGAATTTGCCCTATCCACCCCATCCTCACATAGCCCGTCGACAACACGTTTACTAGAAGGATCAGTATAAAAGGATGCGAATTAGTCAGGAAGTATGTAAGATAAGTGTCCTTCTGTATAATTATGATACATAATAAGACTGGATGGGTGCCAGGGTAATGAAAAACCATCCTGATGAGGTTGTACGCAATTGAAGGACTTCCGTAATCCGTATGCTGATTTGAAATACTGAGGGTTGCAGAGTAAATGCTCGTCGAAACAAGATGAGAATAGCTTTAATACAATGGTGAATATGTAGGAAGAGTGAGGCAAACCCGCTTCTTCGTGGATTTGCGTGAATTCCCAAGATCCAAAGGGTCATTGAAATTGAAGCAGATAAAATTTCTTTGTAATCTGCCAAACTGCATGTGGCATAAAAAATAAGCTGAACGCTTGAATAACAGAGATATTTTCTATAGACGTATTTATTGGGCGCTATATCCTAATGTTTAATCATCCTAGGCCATACATATGAATAAATCTCTTGGCAGACGCAAGTGAAAGTCAAATAGAGTCACAACTGTTTTGAAATCATGCATGAATGCCACGATGGCATATTCTTTTGGCATCTCTTCCAAAATCACATTGAACAATGTTATGAAACAGTTTTTTTTTTTATCGGTAATATGTGTTGAGTCATTTAACATTAGTCATGCTCAATGGATTCTGTAATTTTGATGCGTATGGTTAAACCTAGCTCACCAACCGTAGCGTATTGCCCTTGACAGACGCCTGATAATTCAAGGTTAGAGTTATAAATTTAGTGTGGTGGTTTTTGTGAATTTGTTGCGTGAAATGGGTACGTCTTTGCTCGAATTCGAGGAACAAGCCATCATCTGTACAATGAGTCTCTCACCTACACCAGTTTGTATAGAAATAGTAGCCGTTCATCGGAACTGTCTATGCACACAGAATAAAATTCCCCGAAACTAAATGTTTTCCTTAATCAACGCCTTAATTGCGTTGATTGATTGAGATGTTAAATGGATATTGTAACAAATACTGGATTAACTTTGTTGTATTTTAATCATTTGAGTAGCAGGATAAAATATAAAATATTTTTAAATGGGTCAAAATCTGTCATACTCCCAACACATATAAATGCATGTTGCTTAAGCATGCGTTACGATGTTTTTTTTATATTGTATGCTGTATGTCGGCATTTTAAGTCAGATGTATTATATTCTTCCCTTCACCTCCTTTTTTATAGGGGATGAATGGGTGTTTAACAAAAAAATTATAACATTTGTTGGTATTGAGTATATAATTTATCTTATCATAGAAACTGATCAATGTTTTCTAAAGTCTGCCATCGAAACTTTAAGAATAGAGCCTCGGATTTTAAAATCAGGAACACAATAGATATCTTTTCGGGCATATCTCTTTTCAATCTATCGATATACTTAATACAAATATGGTTTTCCTGTAACATCCATTTTCCATCCGCCCTACTCAACCGAGTTTTACTCTTGAGGAGTCATTTTTATGCTTATAAATTAGCACATGTATTTACTTTTGGACTACGCCGCATACGTCTTTGATTCGTTTTTAGAAAGCTTTCCAAAGGTTCAGGGACTGTCAACCAACTTGCTTTAAATAAGTGTTGGATGTACATTGTAATTAATAGGTCAATTCAACCTTAATTTTTAACCACAGTCTATTTTTAAACAAGAGCTTATGGTCATTAATTTTAAATAGTCTTCTTTTATTTATAGATGTAGCGTTGTAGCCTGATTGAGGTAGGTAAATCACTCGTTATGGTATGAATATACAATCAAAATATTTAAATTAAACATTTTAAATTAGTACTTTTAGTAATTTAATAATTTTTTAAA